CCCTCCCCCTCTCCCCTGGGTTAAAAGGGTGAGCACACCATGTGCCGGGGGTTCTGGTGGAAGCTGTTACTGCATTTAGAGGCCATGCGGCCCAGAATAAGAGCTCTGGATTAAAAACTCTGGATTAAACCCTCTATCAGGACCGACTCCTTCTTTACCATCACTTAAAAAAGTTTCTCCAGCACAGGGAGGCCTGAGGAGTGCCCCTCTTTTACCAACAAGCTCCAGCCCGTAAGCACTGGAGCTCGGGACATGCCTGGACTTATCCCCACGTGCTCATAGCTAGCCAGAGCGTCTCTGCAAAATACCACAGGTGCCGCTATTTGGTTCAGCAGCAGGAACCAGCCAAGCCAAGGCAGTCCCGTTCAGTAATATTGGTAAAATCCAATAAGAAGTGTGTCTCCTCTTGGCACCACGATTGCCCATGCTGCACTGGATGTTCAAAGGAAACATTCCCTCAACACATCATGCAACCAATGCTACATGGAGTAAGTGGGTAGCATTAATTACACAATGAACCCGAATAGGAAAACCCAATTTCCCAGGAATCCTATAAGAGATTTTGGATTGGCCAGAAGCCAGAGATTTTGGAGCATTGCCTGAGAAGGTGATTCGTGCCCAAGAAGCACCACCATATAATGAGTTACCAGAAAACAAAAGAAGCTATGCTTTATTTACTGATGGATCCTGCCAAGTGATAGAAAACCATCAGAAGTGGCAAGCTGCTATGTGGAGTCGCACACAAGTCATTTAGGCTGCTGAAGGGGAAGGTAAATCAAGCCAATTTGCAGAGGTGAAAGCCATTCAACTAGCCCTAGAGATTGCTGAGAGAGAAAAGTGGCCCATACTTTATACCGACTCCTGGATGGTGGCTAATGCCCTATGGAGATGGCTGAAGCAATGGAAGAAAAGCAATTGGCAATGCAGGGGTAAACCCATCTGGGCTGCTGCATTATGGTAGGACATTGCTGCATTAATAGAAAACATAACTCTGAAAGTACATCATGTAGATGCCCAGAAGTTGTGCCACTGGGAAGCATCAAAACAATGAACAGGTAAATAAGGCCACCAAAATTGGAATAGCTCAGGTGGACCTAAATTTGGAAAGAAAGGCTGAGCTATTTATAGCCCTATGGGCCTATGAAACATCAGGGCATCTTGGAAGGGATGCAACATAGATGGGCTCGTGATCGAGGGGTAGACCTGACCATGGAGACTATTTCACAGGTTATCCATCAGTGTGAAACGTGCTGCCATCAAGCGAGCCACATGAGTGAAGCCTCCTTGGAGTGGAGTGCGTTGGCTGGGCTTCCAGTATGGTGAAGCCTGGCAAATTGATTACATTGGGCCATTGCCACGAACACGCCAAGGCAAGAGTTATATCCTCACCATGGTAGAGGCCACAACTGGCTGGCTGGAAACGTACCCAGTAAACCATGCCACCGCCCAGAACATGATTTCAGGTCTTGAAAAACACATTTTGTGGTGACACGGAACCCCAGATAGAATTTGGTCAGACAATGGGACTCATTTTCAAAATAATCTTATAAACTCCTAGGCAAAGAGACATGGAATTAAGTGGATATATCACATTCTCTATCATCCACAGGCCTCTGGGAAGATTGAAAGCTATAACGGGCTGCTAAAAACTATGTTAAGGGTGTTAGGTAATGGGACATGGAAGCACTGGGATGCAAACTTGGCAGAAGCCACTTGGTTAGTCAACACTAGGGGATCTGCTAACTGCCTTTGTCCCGCTCAAACTAAGCCCTTTAGACACTGTGGGAGGAGACAAGGTCCCTGCACTACACACAGGGAAGTGGCTGGGGAAGTCAGTGTGGATTTCTTCCACCATGAGAAAAGGCAAACCCATTTGTGGGATTGTCTTAGCCCAAGGACCTGGGTGTACTTGGTGAGTGATGCAGGAGGATGGGGAGAGCCGGTGTGTACCTCAAGGAGATTCAACCTTGGGATAAGAATAACCTATAGTGTAAGTTGCATGTTGCAGAAGCTAAAGCAGCAGGAGGGACATGAACTGACAAAGAATGAATTTTGCGAGGAGCAAGAAGAATGCGATGATGAACAGGGATGGTGGTGGTGCCCAACCATGAACCATCAAGTGTACTATTTTTCCTGTCCTGACACCACATCCTGATTGAATGGAGACCACCTGGAGGGATGTGAAAGGACAGGCAATAGTAGTTAATAAAATGTATGTTTGGTATAGAGATGGTTTAAGCATCCCAGTAATGAGAGCATATATATTATATGGGTTCCGTGCATGATGCAAATGGTATGGAATAAGGGATGGAGATTGTATTGGGTCTGACCAAGGTAAAGTTCACAGCCCTTACAGTGCTATGCTTTGCATTGGTAGCTGGAAGGGTGTTGATAACAGACCAGTGTTTTGGCTACTGCCGAGCAGCGCTGTCCCTCTGATAGTGGGCAAGATCCTAGGAAGGGACACAACCAGGCCAGCTAACCCAAATTGGCCAAAGGGATATTCCATACCATATGACATCAGCTCAGATATATAAGCTAAGGAAGAGAGGAGGAAGGCGGGGGGGGCAATTCATGAGTTTTTAATGTTTGCCTTCTGGAGGAACCATTACGCATGCTGAAGCCCTGCTTCCCAGAAAGTGTCCAAACATCGCTGCTGATGGGAAGTAGACACTGACCTTTTTTCTCTTTAGCCCATGCACACGCAGATCTCTGCTTATTTCTTTCTTTTAGTATAACAAAACTGCCTTATCTCACCCTGCTGCTTGTTCTCCATCTTATTCTCTTCCCTGTCCCAGTAGGAAAGGGCGACTGAATGGGCACCTGGCACCCAGCCAGGGTCAACCCGCTACACAGTGTTATTTAATATCTCCATTAATGACACACACAAAGGGGTTGAGGGCACCCTCATCAGGTTTGCAGATGACACCAAGCTCAATGGTGCAGGTGACACACCTGAAGGACAGGGCCATCCAGACAGACCTGGACAAGCTCAAGAAGTGGCCCATGGGAATCTCATGAGGTTTAACAAGACCAAGTGCTGGTGCTGCACCTGGGTTGTGATAATCCCCAGGATCAATCCAGGCTGAGGGATGAACAGATCAAGAGCAGCCCTGGGGAGAAGGACCTGGGGGTACTGGTGGGTGAGGCTGGACATGTTCTGGCCATGTGCACTGGCACCCAGAAATCCCGTGTCCTGGGCTGATCCCACAGTGTGGGCAGCAGGGGAGGAGGGGATTCTGTCCCTCTTCTCTGGTGTGACCCCACCTGCAGTTCTGCCTCCAGCTCTGGGGTCCCCAGCACAGAAAGGACATAGACCTGTTAGAGCGAGTTCAGAAGAGGCACCAAGATGATCAGAGGGATGGAGCATCTTTCTGTCTTGGAGTGAGTTATTACGATAGTATATTTCCTAATCCTCTGCTTTGTGCCCAAAAATGGTTGCTGTATCTTTAAGGCAAGGGACTGGATGTGTGTGGGGCTGAGGGTGGGGAGAGCCCCCGTTTAGGTGCAGGCTTTTTTAAAAGCCTTGCTGTCCAGGTTTTCCGTGGCTCAGGGGATATTGTGAGAGGTGTAAGCTTGGCCAGGAACCGGGGGGGGGGGGGGGGGGGTGGGGCCCCCCCCCCCCCGGAGGGGGGGGTTTTCTT